GCCGAGCCGAGCCGGCGAGGGTTCTGGCCCTTCTCCCCACGTTTAAAATTAAAAGGGGAAAAAAAAAGGCAAGGAAAGAAAACAAGTTGTCTTCTACTTCATCTGTTCCTCCCCACTTCACTGAGTGCAGGTCAGTGCGCTGGCGGTGCCTGAAGTTCCCCAGGTCCACCTGCCGGCCGTAGTCAAGGTGTTGGGAGCAAGTCAGGGGAGGGCTTGGCACGCTCCAGTTTGGTTAACGGCTAAACCACCAAGGCTGTCACAGCACCCGTCCCCGGTCCTGCTCGTGATTTGAAAGTCACTTTAAGGAAAGTTGTGGGATTTGGCCAAACTGCAGAGGTGGGAGTGTGTGGGATTACATAATTGTTTCAACGCAGGATGGGATAAGGCGTGGCCGGCCAAGAGCAGACACTGTCCGTGACCTGATCAGTGAAGGAGAGCACTCTTCCAGCAGGATACGTTGCAATATCTGCAACAGGGTCTTTCCACGAGAGAAATCCCTTCAGGCCCACAAGCGAACTCATACCGGTGAGTAAAGGGAAGGTGTGAAGAGCTGGTGTAGTCATTTTAGGAAGCAGCAAGGAAGGAATTAAAACCACCCACAAACAATAAAGAAACCCCAACAAACTCAGTCTGTTAATATTTTACTGTGACTGTTAAATTGATCATACTTCTATTCCAATGCTTGTTAGTGCAAGTCTTTGTTATGGGAAAGCATAGCAACAATTTGGACTATAAAAGTATAGGCAAATTCTGTAAATATTTTATCTGCTGCTGTCACAGGCTTACTTCATAAGAGGGAGAACCTCTCTTGATCTTGGTGCTCTGTACATGGTAGCACATTTTATTCTGACTGCCTTTTCTGAGTGGTTTGTTTCCTTCTTGATGGTGTGTTCTCGACAGAACAACTGAAGTTTAGCTGTAATACGAGACAGTAACTTAGAAACTGGCTATGTGAGCTGACACAGGCAGGATGCAGGAACAACCACAAAACCACAGATGATACGGAAAGAGTAAATTTATTCTTGTTACCTCGTGACCCAGGGGATCTCCATAGGAGCACCTGTGCAGAGGCATGCACGTGGAGATGCAGGCATTGTGAAGCTCAATCCTTGCTAGCCAAAAAAAGAATGAAAAGATCTCAAACCTGCTGCTTTTGCAGGTGTAATTTTCCACTGTGCTTTCATCTTTCCCACAGCAGGGCAGGCATCTTAAGGATGTTTTATAAAGTGCCTCTGAGTCTCTCACCCCAGAAGTGTAGCTTTAAATGCTGAGAAAGGCATTCAATCACCATCCAGTCTCTCCTACCACTTAGAATTCATTTCCTGGGGTGGAGGTGGTCACACGAATTTACTGAACTGTATGTAGAAGGCAACTCGCAGCTAAATTAAAATGTAGGATTAACTCAGTACCTGAGTTAGCTTCAAGTGAACATGAGATGCTATTTTTTTTTTTAAACCAAGTGAATACTTTTTTTTTTTCCCTTGTTCCAACAGGACTCCATTTGCAATGAAGTGTGAACTAATGTAGTTCACAGTACGGACTCAACCACTAACACTCCCCCCAGACACCCAAAACAAACAAACAAACCAGCAGAAAAGCCTTTGCTCCTGTGGTCTTTTTCTGACTCAGGTCACTAAGACAAATCTAGGTGCTAATATTAAGCAGCATTTTCCTCATGCTCTTTGGTCAAAAGATGTTTTTATTTCACACTGGTTGTATTATGTGTTGAACTTGTATGAACTACTTTACTGAACTACTGAGCAGAGCTTACCCTGGTGTTATTCCTGTGACTTAAATCAGCATCACCCTCATTTTGTCATCCTTCCTGAGGAGCAGTGGCCTGGCATGTCTTTGCATAGTTGCTCACAGTCAGCTCCTGTTGAGGGAGGAGACATTTGCTATCTCTGTTCTTCTCATTGCACTTTGCTTGGGGAAATCTTCCTTGATGACAGGCATAAGAAAACTTTCTTGTCTGAAGTCTGGAATAAATTTCTCTTGCAACCTCCATTTATCCATTACAACTTTTCTCGAATAGTCTTCCCTAATAGGTATTTTCACAACTTTGTATATTACTATACTGTTGAACTCAGTTATTTTATTGTAGTTCAGGCTATTTTAAGGATAAAACTTAGCTGGTTACAACTTGAATTACATTACTTGTCCATTTATTCATTTCAATTCGTGTATTTCTTGCTCTATAGGTGCTTAGTTTCATGAGGCAAAGTATATGTAGTGCTGTGCAAGAGGCTTAAATCAGAAAATATGACAAGGAAAAATATAATTTTGGTTTGTGGGTGGGGGTTTTTTAAGTGAATCTCTCTTATTTGATACACTAGGGCTTTTTAAGTAGGTGCAAGCATCCAAGTGAGTAGGAAGACAGCTTGCCTGTGTAAATCTCAAGCCAAGGACCACCACTAGTTTCTATGAATTTATTTTTACGTTCAGCTTTCATAAATCTGTTCTGTTATTATTTTTAAGGTGAAAGGCCTTATTTGTGTGACTACCCAGATTGCGGGAAAGCCTTTGTTCAGAGTGGGCAGCTCAAAACTCACCAGCGTCTCCACACAGGGGAGAAACCTTTCGTCTGCTCGGAGAATGGTGAGCCCTCAAAGAACAATTTGCAGCTTTCAGAACTAGGGTCAGTCTAGTACTGGAAACCTATGCACGTTCATGTGGCAAAGATCTATTAAATCTTCAGATTTTAATTTTGGAGGAGCTTGTAGAGAAGGGAGGAGCCACATAGAATCTACATAATCGTGCAAAGATGTATCTAAGGATTGCATGGTTTATTATGCAAGTAGGTTATCAGTAATTCTGTCAGTTGATACTAATATATAAAATGATGGGGCATGTTATGAACCTTGCAACTAGAGCTTGCCGGTTTGAACCAAACCTAGGCTTTTGTGAGTGAGGAAGGTCAGGTTCACCAGCATCTTCATCCCACAAAAGACATGCTTACTCGTTGGCTGCCTTCTGTAATGTGTTCTTTATTGTCACTTCATGTTTTTTAAGGCTGTTTAAGCAGATTCACGCATGCAAACCGTCATTGCCCCAAACATCCATATGCCCGACTGAAGAGGGAAGAGCTCCCAGACAGGCTGAGTAAGAAGCAGACGGCTGACAATAAAGCTGTGGCTGAGTGGCTAGCAAAGTAAGTTCCCTCATGGTCTCATCTTTTTCTGAAGACATAGAAGGGTGGTCACGTTATTCTCAGGAGCAAAAAACCCCCAAAGAAACCAAAACCAGCTGTTCCTCCAGTACAGATTAGTCCAGCCTTGCCTTTCTGCATGAATTTTCTTTTTTCCCCATCTCTGCTTAAATGTTTCTTTTTGCGTGATCATCACCTGCTAATACCCTGTTAGTGCTACAGTCTGGCTGAATTTGCATCTGTGTGAGGGGTGACAATTGCATGTATGGGAACACCAGGTAGGGAAGTCTGTCGCAGATGTTTACCTGGGCACTTTACTCCTAAAATACTGAATAAAAGAAGTTTCTAACAGCTTAAGTACTACCATATAAGGGCTACAAGATGAAGCCAAATGCAGTGCTTAGTTGGCTGCAAGCTTATAGTTGGGGAGGTTTTTGCCAGCTTTGAACTGTTGGTGTTCAAGTCAGTTGTATGTATTTTAAAAGCATTCCTCACATTTGATTTTGTAGATACTGGGAGACTAGAGAACAGCGTGCTCCTGCTTTGAAAACTAAAACAATCGAGAAAACAGATCAGGAACAGCAGGACCCAATGGAATATCTTCCGTCTGATGAAGAGGATGATGAAGAGGGAAACAGCGCTCATTCAGCTGCTCGCCGCCTCCGCCTCCAGGAACAGCGTGAACGCATGCATGGTGCACTGGCTCTCATTGAGCTTGCAAACCTAGCTGTGGCACCACTGCGACAGTAGATGGGAACAGAGTCTGCCTATACAAAATGTACTTCTGGGTGGTACTTAACCAGTTAGATCCTGAGCATAAGCTAAGCACCTTATTTGCTTCTTATAGGCTGCTATTCTGTAGAATTTATGAAGAATGTTGTTGCCCCGTAACATGGGGTGAGAGAATTGCACTTTTTGTAGGTTAAAAGACAGTTGTAAAGTTTCTAAGTCTTTTGTAAATACAGGACTGCATAATGCAGGGTTGACAAATTTATGTGTTGTGGGAAGCTAGATTTTGCAAGGTTAACTCATTTATTTGAATCAGTTTTCATAGAAAGCACTTTCTGAAGAAGGTGTTTGTGATTAGCAGAATGATACACATGGCCAAAGAAGGCTGACACAAAGAAAAGTATTTATTTGACTTGAAGCACATTTTTAATTAAGTGGTAGGTCTGAAGATGCTGTTAAGCAGCAATGAAATAACATTTCTTTAGTGTTGTCAGTGTATTTTTACCTAGTATAACTGAGGTGGGAGGCAAAACTCAGTTAACTTGAAGAGGGGAAGAAAATGCTTCATGCAGGAAATTGATTGTTCAGGATTTTCACTGTGACTGCTCAAGGTAGGAGGCTTGACTTTGCCATTTAAAATTTTCTAATTTGATTTCAGTAGAATCTCTTGGCAGCACTTGTTATTCCTAATGTGATGTTAGGAAGTTTTGCACGTATTTTGGTTTATCTGAAAATGATTAGTCTTGCAAAGTCTAGACAAAGGTAGACATTAGGTAGTATTTTTTTTCAGATGTTTTTGGACCCTGTAGTGATTTGGCACTTGATTTTCTTAATAAAGGGGATATTTACAGGGTGGTATGGATATGTAGTAAAGTATTGTAGACCTCTTATTAGCAAACACTAAGTTTTGAAGTATTGCTTTTATATGATTATTAGCGAATAGAAGCCTCCATACTTTCTGTGCATAAAGCCACCTTATTGCTTTACTTCAGGATAACATGCCGATTTTTTTGTTCACTAACAGTAGCACAGCTATTAATTAAACACTGCAGAAAAGTATTCACTATACAACTAGAAAATAGGCTTCCAAAGATAGTTACAAGTGTGTTAACAGTGTGATTTCATGTATTTCCCAAATAAATGAAGTTACAGAACTCTGCCTAGTACTCAGATGTTGATATAAAATGTTTAGCAGGATATCTCTTCACTTCGAGAATGTTGTATACTTTGAAACAGCATTGTCTCGTGGTGATCTTTTTCTGTATTTTGCTTTGAAGGCAACCAGAGATTCCTGCTATGGTAATGAATTTTGTTTTCAGGTTGGACATTTTTTTGTGTGTTTAGTATTCTGGGTTTTTTTATTTTTTTAAGCTACTGCTTTAGGGGATATTAATAATTTGTATTTACTGACCTGCTTGCTTTAACTCCTTCCTCTCATTGAAGGTCAGGAAATTCATATGAGAAGGGAAGCTACTTTCTCTCTCGCTTAAACAAGAGAAAGACATAATTTTATCAATCACTTGATATAGGCTGACCAGATGCATACAGCTTTTCCAGAAAAGTTGGGTGATTTTACAACAGAAACTGCAACTGTTGCATTATGTTCTCTGATTGATAATGAGATTTTCAACCACAACAGATTAACTCAGTTTGTTTAAATAATATAGTGATGCACTTAACTAATGAGTAAAAAAAAAAAAAACCACTTTCATTGAATGTAAATAATTTTGCACCAGTGATACGGTTTAACTTTTGATTTCAGCTCCTAAAGTTAGCTGACACCAGGCTCATTTGTTTCTGTTTTAAGTCTTTTAAGCTTAAAAATACGAAACACTGGTTCTAGGCTTCTTAGCCTGTGTAAAACTGGTAATTTGTTGCAGGTTCAGAGTTTCTCAAATGTTACTATCCAGTTGGCTGAATGCAAATAGTCTGATCCCAAAATGAGCCCTGAGTGTAAATTGGTTGTACTTCTGGTTTGTAACTCAGAATTACTCCTGAGTAGTATTTCACAGGGCACGACTGTGTAATTACCAGACAGTTGTAGACTTACTTCATTAGGATTGGGATTGATTTCTGGCCCCCCCC